GTTGTGGTGGTGGTGTTGTATTGTTGTTGTTGATGTTATGGTGGTTTTGTATTGTATGTGTTGTTGTTGTTGTTGTGGTGTTGTATTGTTGTTGTTGTGGTGTTATGTTGTTGTTGCTGAGGTGTTGTGGTGTTGTATTGTTGTTGTGGTGTTGTGTTGTTGTTGATGTTATTGTTAATGTTGTGTTATCTTATTATCGTGCAGGTTCTGGTCCTGATGAGGCTGTGGATGTGAAACCATCTGCTCGGATCAACCGGCACTCAGTCTTCTGGATCCTGGCGTCTGTCTCTCTCACCTACTATCTGGATTTCTTCTCTGTCCTTCTGAACCACAGTGACATTCACAGGTGACTACTAACCTTGACCATAACTAGCACTGTCAGTCACTGCTCAGACTCACAGACAGCAGTTGTTACTGACGGGTGTGTGTGTGTGTGTGCTGAGGTGCGAGTGTGTGTGTGGGTGTGTGCTGAGGTGTGAGTGTGTGTGTGTGTGCTAAGGTGTTTGAGTGTGTGTGTGTGGTCAGATTGCAGTGCTAACCGTATCACAGCTCCTCGGTCTCAAACAGCTGAAACACTCTCTCTCTCTCTCATATGTTCTTTTCTTCTTATCCTGGATTACAATAAAGATTATAGAGCTCTGGTTACGAGGAGAGAACCTACACGCTAACAACACGCAATACACACACACACACACGCGCGCCTTCACAGTTAAACAATGAAACTCCATGAACTCTATTCAACTCTTCAGCAACTCGCATCTCTGTAGAAGTTACTCTGTAGCGTCTGGTGTGGATTCATGAAAATCTTCTTAAGGAAGATTACATTTCTTAAGATGGCTTTTAAGAAACTTGTACGATTGTTCAGAAGTGAAGATCTTATAAATAAAAAAAAACTTAAGAAGTGAAAATGTTTTTAGAAGAATTTTAAACAGAGATGAAATAAATAAAAATAAAAACAGTTCTAAAATTCTAAAAAAGAATTGTTCACATTGTCGATCACTGGTGTGATGATGTTGCTCGTGCAGTAGTTATAATCATGGGTATCATATGTAGCTAGAGTCCTGTTGTGATGTTTATTATTTGAAACAGTTCAATAAATTCATTTTATTAAGCATTTTTGGTGATTTAAGACTAGCTGGTTATTTACAATAATTTTAAATAACATTATTTTCAGGAAATCAGTTTGCTCGTATGCTTTGTTTTAAGAAAAAAGACAAGCACATCTTAAGAACTGTTTTTGGGAATAGAGATTATTCTTAAGTTAAATGTGAAGAAAACAGTGTGTGTTTAAAAAACATTTTTTGTGAATTCATCTCCTGGTCTTTCATTTGAGTCACTAACGGTGCGGAGTATAATTGAGATGCTTTTTATAGAATTTATTAATGAGTTTTAATTATATTTTAAGTTTTCATTAACGTTTTAGTAGTTTTTGTCATTTTAATGTTGTCTTTTTTTTTAAACGTCTGTATAGTTTCATTCATTTATTTCATTAATTTTAGTTGTTTTAGCACATCAAGTTAAACTAAATGAAAATGACAAATGTTGCCTTGACAAAATAATAGTTATTTTTGTATTTAATAGAGTTGTAACTAGCGTTGTGGCTCAGGTGTTGCTCAGAGGTGTCTGACGGCTGGTTTTGTGCTGCAGCTGGTGGTTTAGCGTGGCTCTGGTTCTGCTGGCGCTGTGTGTGTCTCTGGCGTTGTTCTGTATGGTGTATCTGGAGTGGTTCAGAGGAATCCAGCAGTATGATCAGGAGTATCCAGCCGTCCCCGCCGTCTCCACCGCAGCCTTCATCGCCGCCTCCTGCAGGTCTGAACTCCACGACCCATGACCAGTACTGCTCTGCATTATTTTAAGACCATTCAACACATTTCTCCCTGAATCTCATTACTGAGATTTCATTTAGAGTTTTTTTGACGGTTCACATTGTTTCATGACACTTTTAATAGGAAACTATTCTGAGCACGAGCTAGTGTACATCATTCAGATTCACTCTTCACAAAAACACTTTATTTCTTTATATGTAAATGAGCTCTAAAGTACTGAAAGCACACGTTTTAATGTTGCAATTCTAATCATGCATAATCATGTTCTCATATTACAGTGATTATATTTAGTTTGCCATGAAATCCTGTTAAAATGCAATGAATGGTCCTTAAATAGGCTTGTTTCGTCATTTTTAGTAGTTTTAGTTTTTTTATGAAGATGAGAAATGTTACTTTGATGACTGCTAGTAGAAATAAAAAAAATTTTAATAAATATTTTTACAAGTAATAAAAATGTATTTTGAAATGGTTTTAGTTAGCTGTAATAACCCTGCTATGAGAGTGTTCAGACAGATGATTTAATAAGCGTCTCGTTTAAACACATTCAGTGAGTCATTGATGAGTCTGCGTATGGCATCTGACATGTTAAAATACACCCACTAAATATTGTTTGGTTTACCGCATATAAATTAAAACGATTCAATTTAATTCTTCTTTGTGTTCATTTATTGATTATTTAGACTGGATTTTAACTGTTAATTCTTACATTTGACATTTGGAGACTGGTCAGTGTTTTTGTCCTCGATGCTGAATACGCTGGTGTTGTGTGTGTTTCAGCTTGAACATCGCTCTGTGGCCCGTCTGGTCGTTCTTCACTCCAGTGATTCTGTTCACTCAGTTCATGGGTGTGGTGATGCTGATCTCACTGCTGGGCTGAAACACACGGTGTGTGTGCGTGTGTGCGTGTGTGAGTGTGTGTGTGTGTGAGTGTGTGTGTGAGTGAGTGTGTGTGAGTTTGTGTGTGTGAGTGTGTGTGAGTTTGTGTGTGTGAGTGTGTGTGAGTTTGTGTGTGTGAGTGTGTGTGAGTTTGTGTGTGTGAGTGTGTGTGAGTTTGTGTGTGTGAGTGTGTGTGAGTTTGTGTGTGTGAGTGTGTGTGTGTGAGTGAGTGTGAGTGAGTGAGGTGAGTGAGGTGAGTGAGTGAGTGTGTGAGTGTGTGAGTGTGTGAGTGTGTGAGTGTGTGAGTGAGTGTGTGAGTGAGTGAGTGAGTGAGTGAGTTTGTGTGTGTGAGTGAGTGAGTGAGTGAGTGAGTGTGTGTGTGTCTGTCTGTCTGTCTGTGAGTGCGTGAGTGTGTGTCTGAGTGTGTGTGTGTGTATTAAACACATCAGTTCTGATCAACAGCAGCTCACTGAATCATGACCTGAGTCTCCGTGTGTCTGTAACGAAGCCGACGGCGACAGATAGAGAGGTCAGCTGATCGGTCTCTGACCTCTGACCTCTGCTTTATTCCAGTGCCGAGGACTCGCTTTAATGAACAATGAGACTTTCAGCAGCATCTGACGTCTCCAATCAACAGCCGCTCATATTTTGTTTAGGGTTTCCTGAACATCAGCCCGACGGAGGTGAACGAGAGGTTTTCTTTGAGGTCCTGTAGACTGCTGATTGCAGTGTTTTCTAAAAATGCTAATTGCTTTACATTACCTTCCAAACACACCGTTTTAAACGGTTCACTAAAGATACTTGGCGCTTGTGTTGTACACCCTGTTCTAATGTCCGTCTGTAACTAACCAAATACATGAACTGATGAAATAAAGACGTTTGTATTACATGACATTTTCTGTCTGTCTGTTTTTTGAGGTGCTCATAACGGAGTCAAAATTCACGTTTCAGGTGTGAACTGAGGTTGTAGAAGAGAACATTGACATACCTTCAAGTAATGTGAACCACCGAGAGGATTTCACTCAAATAGTTCCTGAAGAAAAGCCATGCAAGACGTATTTTTTAGAGTGTTTGCTCATCTGCAATACGTCTATAGGATGTTTCCTATCAGATGTCAAATAGACGTTTAGAAGACGTCTTTAAGATGTTTATGATTTAGAATGAATGTAAAACTGACATCTCAGAGACGTCTATCAGATGTTTGCACACAGCAGATGCTTTCCAGATGAAGAGCTCTTTAACAGACGTCTCGCAGACGTACCTGTGCTCTCCGCGCTGCAGGTGAGCGTTTCTGACACACTGAGCACTTCTGTTTAATTGTGAATCTTTGACTTTGAAACTTGTAAAGCGAGTAACATATGTAAAATGTTCTTGATTTGAAATGACTGAGTGAGTGGAGTTATCACATGAAAACATTAGCATTAAGGTGTTTATGAAACTATAGCGAGTGTCTGAGGTGCAGTCGTGTGAACCGTGCATCTCACTAATTGTAACCATTAATTACAAAGAAAGGGCATGTGACATTAGATTAAACATGACATTTTGACTGACTGTGTTCCTCGTGCCCTGGCTGAAGCTGTCCTGTGCTTGTGAGAGAATCAGGAGTGAGTGCAGGTGCGCTGTGTTTGTGTGTGAACATGCTTCTGTAGAGCTTCACTCGTCTCGCTGCACAAAAACACATGCAGTGTTCCTCAAAATGAATGCAAACTCAGAATATGACGCAAACCTGCAATAATTAAATATCCTTTATGTATTTAAGCTCATTTTATTAACATAGTCTTTGCTGCTGACCTTCCATGATCCAGTTCAACCATACTAATAAGCAAAAATGACTTTATATAAACAACATTTGTGTTTCCTTTTTTAATTGCTGAAAAACGAGCCAGCACAGATGAGAAAAAGTAATGCAGAAGTAACGTAACGCATTACTTTCCATAACGCAATTAGTTACTTTTTCAGGGAGTGACGCAATATTGTGATGCATTACTTTTAAAAGTAACGTTCCCCAACACTGTTATTTACAGTCTCATTGCACGCGCCTGCGCTGCTCGCTGATGACATTACGAGAGAATGGCTCTGTGATGATGATGATGATGATGATGATGAGCGCGTCTGTCAGACTTCATCAAAGCTCTCCGGAGTCGATCAGCGGAAGCAGCGTTTGATCCGGATCATGGCGGAGCCCAGCTCCAGCTCCAGCTCCAGCACCAGCTCCAGCACCAGCTCCAGCTCCAGCTCCAGCTCCAGCACCAGCTCCAGCACCAGCTCCAGCACCAGCTCCAGCGCGGAGGACTCGAGGCTGATGCGGGTGCCTTGTGCGCAGGTCAGAGCCGTTATAATAGAAGCTCTTTTGTTGGAGCTCTCTGGCCCGGATCGGTTTCATCTAATTGTGGGTCCCTCTGTAATCGAGCACACCGTCCAATTCGGCTTCTTCTCGTAAACTTTTCTTCAAGCGCTTCAACAGAACAGGCTGCGTCTGATTTCAGCCGCGTTTCGCAATCCGACTTTAATTCCGCACGCAGATTTCACGCTGAACACATTCTTCTGATTGGGCATCCGTTACACGAGTCTGCGGTCAACAAAGGGCCGTCCATAAAGAAAGAGCCTTTGACCAGTGAAACCCGAGAGCCTGAAGCTCACTGGAGCTTCGCATCTGACCGCGGCGTGAGGAGGAACGACTAGAAGCGTGGAGACGCGGTGAGGAGCGCGCGCGTGTTTCTCAGGATTCTTGGCACCGTCGCTTTTCCAGGAGCTCGCAGATGAACGAAACTCGATCCGTGATAATCTGCTGCGCCTTGTAGGAGGTATATAGCGGCGATGTCCGCGGCTCCCTGACGGCGTTCATCCGGAGCCGCTGCTGCTGATCGACGGCACCATGGTGGAGCACAGCGGCCTGGACATCATGTGTCTGAACAAGTACAGCCCCGCTTCCTCCTCCTCATCATCCTCGAACGCGGAGAAGAAACTTTTCTCCAAGCTCAAGGTGAGTCTGACCAAGAAGTACCCGCAGAAGAACGCGGAGACGCTGAGCGCGCAGTACGGAACCAACCTGCTGCTGATCGGTGTGTCGGTGATGCTCGCGCTGGCGCAGCACGGTCCGGCGGTGAAGAAGGAGCACCTGCTGGCCTTCATCACGGCGCTGATGCTGGTGCAGCTCGTGTGGATGCTCTGCTACATGATCCGGAGGGAGCGGGAGCGCAGCGCGGTGCCGGAGAGGGACGCGCACGCCGGCACCAGCTGGATCCGAGGTGAACGCAGCGCATCTGCTCCAGAACGCCATGCTGTGTGAGCGTGAGAGTGAATGATTGTGCTGTGTGTTCAGGGGGGCTGACGATGCTGGCGTTGCTGTCGCTCATCATGGACGCGTTCCGCATCGGCTACTTCGTCGGGTATCACTCCTGCGTCTCCGCCGTGCTCGGAGTCTATCCCATCGTGCACGCGCTGCACACCATATCTCAGGTGAGAGCGCGCATCTGGCACGCGCCCGGTGTCAGGGCACGCTTGTCTCGAGACACGGACTGTTTCGAAGCAGCTTCAGCCGGATAACAGGGAACGAATACAAAGTAACGTTAATAGAACGTTCGTTCAAAAATACCGGCTCTTTAATAATGTTAAAACACAAAACCATTCACGGAGCGTTCTCTAACATCTTTTAAATGTTGCTACTTGTTTCGGAACGTTCAGAGAACAGACAAAAGTAACACTCCCTTTAACATTCATTTAACCAAGAAAAAAGTTTTTAAAGCATTTTAAAAGAGAACATTCACAAATAACGTTTTCATAACATTAGCAAAACTTAGAACATTTCTGACTGAAATAAACAGGAACAGTATGAATTTAGTTAAGTTATGAATCAAATTCAGTTCCAGCTGTAAGGCAGCTCTACAGAAGACAAGCGTGTGATTATCCAGATCAGATCCGTTCTGAAGGGAACCATGTGTTTGCTCTTGATTGCAGGTGCATTTCCTCTGGTTCCACATCAAAGATGTCATCAAGAAATATGAAACGTTTGAAAGGTACAGACAGGCTTCTTTCTCTTCGTTCATGTAGCAGCAGATGCTTTTATTCCAAATGAGACCAAATAGCAGAGATTCAATCCTGCAGATGCATGAGAAGAAGTTCACTCTACAGTACACTTAATGCACTATTTAATGTAATAAATGCATGATTTTCGAAGGTGATGATTATGATACATGCATATGATTGGGAAGAGTCAGCATTAGACACACAGGAGCAGATTCCACATGCAATTTAATTGGAGATGCTGATGAAATAGCCTCAGCAACACATGATGAATCCGATCATGTGAAACACAGATATGTGTGTGTGTGTTGAGCAGGTTTGGAGTGATTCACGCTGTCTTCACTAACCTGCTGCTGTGGTGTAATGGAGTGATGTCAGAAGCTGAACATTTCCTCAACAACTACAGGAGACGCCTGACTGCGCTGGGATACGCCAATCTCTCCACAGGTGTGTGTGTGTGTGTGCGGACAATAGTGTTTTTCAGAGTGCTCAGCTCACTGTGGGAGGAGTCTGTTTTTCCCCCTCTACTATAGACTCTCTCTCTCTCGCTCTTGCTCTTGCTCTGTCTCTCGCTCTCTCTCGAGCAGGTGTGTGTGTTGTCACTTTACTGTTCACTCTTATAATAAAGGTTCTTTATTGGCATTGATGGTTCCATTAAGAACCGTTAACACCCATGAAACCACTAAAGGTTCTTTATAGTGGAAAACCTTTTTTTTTTAGATTATTAAAACATTCTTCACGCTTAGATAAAATGTTTCACATAAATACTGTTCTTTTGAACTTTCTGTTCATCTGTGAATCCTGAAAAATAAAATGCATCATGATTTTCACTAAAATATTGAGCAGCACAACTGTTTTCAGCATTGATAATAATCAGAAATGTTTCTTGAGCAGCAAGTCAAGTCAAGTCACCTTTGTTTGTATAGCGCTTTATACAATACTTGATGTGTCAAAGCAGCTTTACAGTATCAAACGGGAAAATAGTTTGTCAATAATGTAAGAAGACAATAACAGAGTCATTTTTCAGCTAAAGTCAGTGCATTGATGATTCAGTGATGTCATCATCCAGTTCAGCTCTCTTCAATAGTGTCTGTGCAATCAGTTAAGCGTCCCCAACTAAACAAGCCAGAGGAACCAAAACTCCTTCGGTGACAGAAATGGAGAAAAAACCTTGGGAGAAACCAGACTCAGTCGGAGAAATTATTCTAATATTAGCATATTATAATGATTTCTGAAGGATCATGTGACACTGAAGACTGGAGTAATAATGCTGAAAATTCAGCTTTGATCACAGAAATACATTACGTATAATAATCTCATAAAAATGGAGCATATGGTGAATCTGCTTTCTAAAACAAAACACAGTCATACTGACCTCAAACCTTTGTCTGGTAGTAAACACAAAGTGCTTTGATGTCGAAAACGAATCTTTCAACAGATTCTCTCTCCTCTCGTCTAGTCTCCTCCTCTCCTCTCCTGTCCTCCTCTCGTCTCCTCCTCTCGTCTCCTCTTGTCTCCTGTTCTTCTCTCCTCCCATCTCCTCCCCTCCCCTCTCGTCTCCTCTCGTCTCCTCTCGTCTCCTCTCGTCTCCTCTCGTCTCCTCTCGTCTCCTCTCGTCTCCTCTCGTCTCCTCTCGTCTCCTCTCGTCTCCTCTCGTCTCCTCTCGTCTCCTCTCGTCTCCTCTCGTCTCCTCTCGTCTCCTCTCGTCTCCTCTCGTCTCCTCTCGTCTCCTCTCGTCTCCTCTCGTCTCCTCTCGTCTCCTCTCGTCTCCTCTCGTCTCCTCTCGTCTCCTCTCGTCTCCTCTCGTCTCCTCTCGTCTCCTCTCGTCTCCTCTCGTCTCCTCTCGTCTCCTCTCGTCTCCTCTCGTCTCCTCTCGTCTCCTCTCGTCTCCTCTCGTCTCCTCTCGTCTCCTCTCGTCTCCTCTCGTCTCCTCTCGTCTCCTCTCGTCTCCTCTCGTCTCCTCTCGTCTCCTCTCGTCTCCTCTCGTCTCCTCCCATCTCCTCCCCTCCCCTCTCGTCTCCTCTCCTCTCCTCCCATCTCCTCCCCTCTCCTCTCGTCTCCTCTCATCTCCTCTTCTCCTCTCGTCTCCTCTCCTCTTGTCTCCTGTTCTTCTCTCCTCTTGTCTCCTTTCCTCCTCTCATCTCCTCCCCTCTCCTCTCCTCCCCTCCCATCTCCTCCCCTCCCCTCTCGTCTCCTCTCGTCTCCTCTTCTCTCCTCCCCTCTCCCCTCGTCTCCTCTCGTCTCCTCTCCTCTTGTCTCCTGTTCTTCTCTCCTCT